GAAGAAAGGATTTCAAATAATAGTTTTCCAATAAAACTCAAAAAATTACCATCTCCTCATGGCCAAATTCTCAACCAAACTGGTTTGGCTGAAAGTGGAGCTAATGAGACCCAAGAGTTTGCTACAAGTCTAAGGTACCTTCTGGCAAAGAACCACAAGAAAGAGGTTGGCCAAGTCCCAGAGAGCTGGGACAGAAGAGACTCAAAACTCACCACATACCCCACACCATATACCCCAACAGGAGGTCAGGAATAGGGCACCACTGTCCCCTTCAAGGACCAGGAGCAACCTCCCATGTGTCTCTCACCCATGTGTGTTTTTCCAGTATCCCTTCCAAATGTCTACACATGTTTCTCTTCCACATGTCTTGTCCAAGTACATGGGTCCCCTCTCCAAGTGTCTCCCCTTCTACTTATATATCTACCCTACCCCTTCCCAGCTGCCTCCCATCCAGGATATTCAGTTTATGGCATGCTGGGACTTGTAATCCAAGGCAACTGCATACAAGTGGGGGATGGGGGGAAGTGGCACCCATTCAGTGCGCCCCTTCATGGAGATATATCTATAACAATTTCTCTGCCCTAAAAGTTCCCTGTGCTCTACTTATTCACACCTCCTCCCCACTCCTGACAGCCAAGCTCTTTTTCTATCTTCATAGTTTTCCTTTTCTAGAATATCATCTAGTTGAACTACATTGTCTAGTTTAACTACATAGTCTTTTTAGATTGGCTTTCATTTAACAGTATGAAATGTATGTGTGGTTTTCAACAGTCACTTCAACAAGCTGTTGAGTGACAGTAAACAGTGACTACTATCCTGAAAAACTGACAGACACCAGCCCAAGTGTACCCCATCAAATGCACCTAGGCAGGACTACTCTGCCCTGGGTATCTCCTCTTTGCCATTCCAGGAAATCACATCTTCAGGTATAAGAAACAGTCATTGCTTTGCCTGCTTGCAAATGTCTCCATGACAGATAAAACTTGTATCTGAAACTTCTCTTGTGGTTTTCCTTTCAAACTTGATAGTCGTTAGGTATTGAGTGCTGGGTGCATCAAACAGGGCTCCTGTCCTTGGCTGACAGAATTGAGACACTGTCAAATGGGTTTAAGCTGTGGCAAATTTAAGACTGAGAATACCCTAGATCTGTGCTGGGGGAATTATCTAGTGAAAATGGATTTTTTTTTTGAACAATGAAAACCACAAAAGAACATAAACCTGTCACTTTACCAGGCCTCGTCAAGGTCTACAGTTAAGGGTATAGAAAGATGGCACTCTAAATGCTAATTATCTGGGGAGAAAATGTCCCTGGAGGCTTTATTCAGAGCAATAGGAGGCCACTGCTTCCTTCAGAGACCTGTGTGAGAACTAAAACCCAGCTCTGTGAGTAGTCCTCTCTCAGAGACAGTCCTCCCGTCTTCAAATGTGGCAGAGCCACAACTGCTCCTGCAAGTGAACCCAGTCAGAGGATATACTGCAGGCTGTAGGTCTTTCTCTCACTTGAGGGAAATTTTAAGTTCACTGTACACAAATTTAAGTCACTTCTAATGATAAAAGTTGGTGGGGGGGGGGAGCCAAAGAATCTGAGAATAAAAGAAAATTGAGAAGAATTGCTGATATATATATTTTTTTAATGAAGTCCAGCGTGGGCAAGAGAAAAGGAATCTGAAACTTCAGAAACTCCATCCTGTGACATTGGGGTAGAGATGCCCAAAGGTCAAGACATCCAAAAGATCAGACTCCATGAGCTTTGGTGTGAGGATGGCAGGCCGGATCCTCTGTCACATGGTTTGGTGCCATCCCAGGAAGAGACAAAAGGAAGCAATTGCTCTCTTAACTGGGTCAGCGAGGGAGTCAGTCCTGGTGTTTGTTTCTGACACCATGGAGAGTGCCAAGAGGCACTAACTTTAGGATGAAAGGCCAGAAGCAGGCAAGAACACACCTTGCGAAATGACTACTACATAGCACCCAACCAAAGCAAAGATGCCCATGTCTTCTTGGAATGGTGGGAAATTATTGCTGATTTTATTGATGCAAAACACCTTTTTGTGGTCTTATTTTAGTGAACCTAACTGTTTTTGTTGGAAAGTTTCATAGCATATCAGAGTCACTAATTGGGCTCATGAAACCCCAGAACTAAACCATTAAACCCACAAAGGATGAGAGGCCCTCTTCCAACCCCGAGAATGTGGGGTCTAGGAGAAAAAGCCAAAATATTTTTTAGTCTTTCCCACTAGCTCCTTATATTTTTTCCCCTTTCTGTTTTCCTCCTCTTTCTCCTACATCCTCTTCTCTACCCTGTTTCTTTCTGTAGAGACTGTCCCTGGTTATCAATTGATACATAATAAATGTAGGGTTTAAGAAAACAGCCCTTATATTCTATCTAGTTTTATATCAGGGGTTATGCTGAGAGGGGCTGGAATGTGTGGTACCTGGTGGCATGTGGGGGTCGCTCATTCACTTACCAAATGGGATGGGCATGGATCTAAAAGATCTATATGAATTCCTTTAACATTTTTCATATTGCAGATTTGAAGTAATAAATTCACTCCATTTTTGTCTTTCTAAACATGTTTTTCTCTTGCCTTCATGTTCAAAGATATTTTCACAGGCTGCAGAATTCTGGAATGATAGATTTTTCTATTGGTTACTTTAAAGATAACTGCTTCATTATCCTCTGGGTCTTGTAATTTATGATCAGAAGGCTACTATATTTCTCACATTTATATCTCTGTATGTACTTCAGTCATTTTTGTGTATTTGCAGTATCCAAACATTCCATACCCCCATGCTAGCCCACATTCCCTGTAGCAATTCATTAAGTAAAAATTAAAATCAACAAGCAACTATAAACCAGAGATACACTATGGGGGGAGGGGAGAAGGGAGTAGGATCAAAACAAGGGTGGTGGGAATTGTATGGGGACTATAACCAAGGTGAAAATGCATATATTGTGCAAAAATGAACAACGATGTAAAAAATATGTAAAATTTGGGCTTCCCCTGGTGGTGCAGGCAGTTGAGCGATGCACTGTGAAGCTGTCCGCAGCCTCTGCAGCGCTGGTTCAATCCCAGCCAGCCAGTGAGGGTCCCACATGGTGCAGCAGACCTCTCCTGTCTCGCCCGCTGCTCCCCTCAGCAGTGCATTTTGTCAGTCTGCCTGTTCTGTTCCCTGCTCTGTCTCTGGTGAATCCTCTCACCCTCCCACGCATCTGGCCTGTACCCTGATTCTTGTATAAATAAATAAATCTTTAAAAATATATATAAAAAATTTAAAACATTAAAAAAAAAGAATCAGTTGGATTTCCTTTACCCAGTTCTGTGATATCTTCTCCTGTGCTCTGTACAAATGAGCCAATACCACAGTCACCCTCCTTGGGGATGTCCAGCTTTCTTTATATTTCAGACTGCTTGGTTGCCCTGTGATCTCAGCTTCATGTGAGCTCAAGAAAAGTTATGATTTTATAGTTTATTCAGTCTTTTCCTGTCCTTTGGTATACATTATGTTCTCTCCAGCTTTCTGCATCTTAGACACAGCAATCCCTGTAGTCATTTTTAATCCACAAATATTGCATAGTTGTTGAGTGGGAAGTAGGACAGTTTTCTTGGTGACTTATGGAGGGAAGTGTCAAGGGATATCATAGCCGAAGTCAAGAGCAGATTGGAAAAGAGAACATGGAAGAGTAGACTTGAGGGACTTGGATAAATGTTACATTATTTTCATCTCTGCATAATGAGATGAGTTTTTGAGAAAAAGAACAATGAAAGATATTGTAATTTTTAACAGAACTGTGTTCTGTCTTCATGTGCTCTGTGCCAGGAGGCCCTTGTCTTTGTTTTTGTTGTTGTTTTGTTTCATTTTTTGCCTTGAACCAAATGATCTTTCGGGCTTCTGTGTCTTACTTTTGAAATAGGATTCTAAAGAACCTTTAGGACCTTTCTTTTCACCTGCAGAAAACTTGATAGTAGAGCCAGTGGGCTAATCCTCTTTTCATAGACCGCTAGGGTTATCATCCTTTAAAAGCTTGTCATGTCACATCACTGTGTTTTTTTTTTTTTCAAGACACTTTTAATTCCCCATTGCCTAACATGTACATTATCAACCACTGTGTTTGACCTATGAGGCAGCCCCCAAAATAACCCCCGACTTACTAAGCCCTCTCCCCAATATACCCCATGCCCAGCCATGCTCACCTTTTGCCAGGTTTTGTCTTTACTCAATGTGTTTCCCCAGATGGGGATGCCTTCCTCAAGGTCTTCCTCTCTTCAGTGGTTGGCCCTTTCTTCCAGACCTCACCAGGTGTCTCCTGATCAAAGCTTGCCATACTTTCCTAGGGCAAAGCTGGTTAGTTACTGCTCCAGAGAGTAGTTTGTCTGTTTACAACAACCTCAGTTTTTCTCCCAGTATGTGAATTCCTTGAAGACAGGCCATTTGCAAATATATAATTGGGCTTAATAGCTGTTCAGTAAAAGAAAGAAATAAACAGAGAAAAAAATTTTAATGCTTGCCTTTATGACAGACAAAGAAAAATTCAGTCTCCAAATGGATAAACAACAATACATATGGGAAGGGGATTTTTTTTTCCATGTAAAGGATAATTTGACTTGAAGCACAGTGGTATATAATGGGAGATGGATTTCTAGATGAAACATTGCCTTGATCACAAGTACTGGGTAATTGAAAAAGAAATCAGAGAAAGCTTTTGTTTGCTATCCATCTTGGGATCCCTAGGAAAGGCTCGCTTGTGGAATGAGAAGATCCATTCACTTTTCTGCCTATGCCTTAAAGAATTCTCCAACAGAAAATGAGAAATAGCCCAATTTTTTTTTCTTTGTAATGCCACTATTTGCTTCCAAAAACATTCATCACACTCCCCTGTTCTCAGTGCTGTAATTGCCAGTGAATCCTTAAGTGGTAGCTAAGGATTTCTTTTTCATCTCTTCTCCCTACTGTGCCTCCTACTGGTGGTTTTGCTGTCCTTTATGATTGCCTTGGAACAGTGCCTACAGCGCCCCCACAGAATGTACAGACGGAAGCTGTGAATTCCACGACCATTCAGTTCCTGTGGAAGCCTCCCCCTCAGCAGTTCATCAATGGCATCAACCAGGGATACAAGGTATGTGAGCTTCATGGAGAGCCTCCAGGGGCCTGTCTTGGTATGTCATGTCTTATGATTCAGTTAGGAGGCTAGCCACCCCTCATTTCACCAAGAACCCATTGCTTCTAGTTATAGAGCATTTGGCCTTGGTGGGGTCACAATTTATGCAAGGTCTTATAGCTACTGTTCTGAAACTCAATACTGCTTATCAAGAAGATGGCTCATATAAACAGAAAAATTTCTAATGAGAAAGGCTGTTCATTTAAAAATTACCATTGAGAGAACTATCTCAGTTGATTGGAAATAGTATTTATACAAATCACTTCTTCCTGGAAAGGAGTCCTCTCAGAACACAGACTTAGAACAGAGGGTACTGGATGCAACTATAATATTTCTATCAAGTAAGGATATTTATCCCTTCCCCTTCTCTACTTCAGGGAGAGTTCTGTTAATAGAACTGAGACCAGCTGAATCAGGATAACTACATGAACTAAATTAAGGACACAGACACATTCCCACAATCCAGAATCCTCTGTTCTTACAGCTACTGGAATATGTTACCTTCATAGATGTTTTTGGATGCAATTTCCAAAAGTAGAGCTTATCTTAACTTTTAGATCAAGTTCTGGATGGGCTTGGGAGTCCATCTTAATTTTACTTACAACATATTCATTAATCTTCTACAATGACAGCTAAACTCAGGAAAGATTTTTTTTTTTTAGGAAAGATATTTATAGAGAATTTTATATTTAGAGACTATTATTTCTTCAGAGACGTGGGTTTTTTTTCCCCATTTGGAGTCAACTTGCTGAAACACTTGTTTTTCGCTAGAAATTTACCCTTTTCTTTTCCCCCAGCAGTATCTATATTCAAAAGCTTTTTTGAAAGAAAATCATATTGATCAAGGTGATTCCTGTTCTTGACTTCCCTGTCAAGTTTCATTGACAAGACCACATTCATTCCATGGCTTAGTTGTTGGCTTGATCTATAGAAATATACTTTATGTCCTGTGGCATGTTAACTTACAGACCTAATTAACTCTGGAAATGTTGAGTGTCAAAGGAATTAAAAGTCACACTTACATATAATGTTATCAAAACAGTTAAACAACTTCCCTTGGAACATATATACATGCTATATTTCTTTAAAATTCAAATCAATTCCTAAAATTCTTATTAGAAAACTAGTGTGATATAAATTATAAATAATTACAATTGTTTCCATTGTATCAAGAACTTTTTATGGAGTCAGAGCATGTGCCTAGCAGGAGAAATATATGTATTTATGTTTCATTGTACTGATTCAGTTGAATAGAAGATGATAAATATATATTCTAGTATATGTTTAAGTGAAGAGAAAGTAAAAATTTGAAGGTGCATGTATTATCCCAATGAATAAAGTAGATTTTATTTATGTATGCATATATAATATATATAAAAATACATTTTGTGTTCCATAATCTGAGATAACTTTCAAATTCAATGTTTACATGAGATCATTAAATGTAGGATTTATGGGGTTTCTTAGTTATAACTTTGCTTTCTCTGAGCGCATATTGATTGCAAAAGAAAATTCTGATCAAGACTGAGAGTGAAAAAATGCAACTAACAAAATGTCTTTTACAACCTGTCCATCCAGCTTCTAGCATGGCCAGAAGATGCCCCTGAGGTTATCACTGTAGTCACCATTGCTCCTGATTTCCATGGAGTCCACCATGGGTTCATAACTAACTTGAAGAAGTTTACTGCTTACTTCACATCAGTTCTGTGTTTCACCACTCCAGGGGATGGGCCTCCAAGCACTCCTCAGCTCATCTGGACTCATGAAGACAGTGAGTATTTATCTGCCATGTGTCATATCAATAGTCATGAGTCAGCTGTTAAATAAGAATGGACTGCTGGTATACCCAGCACTGAGGGCAGAGATGGTCATTAGGGAACTCCATATTCTCAGCATTCTCAGCATTCTACTTGCCCTACAGAGATGAGTCACTAGAAAACATAAATAACATTTGGTCCATGGAATATGAAAGGAAGCCTGGCTAGAGGAAAGCAGGAAGGCGAGAAAGAGCACCTGGTCCTGGCCATGTGGTCAATCTTCGGTTTTTGCTGGGCTTCTCTGCCCATGCTCCTCAGGCCCTCCCCATGCATTTTACCTGGGTCATCCTGAGCCCCTCAACTTTCGATTATCTGCATCTGCTCAATTCAAACCGGCCCCTTCCCTGTTCTCAGGCCAACTGACACTTCTGGAAAACATTAGCTAATGAAATTTTTCTCAAAAAAATTATCACAGATGTTCACATGGGTTGATGTACAAGGAGGTTCATTACAAATATCTGTAATTGAAAAAAAATGCAAAGTGTTCAAATGTTCCAAAGGGGGATAATTGAAAAAAATATGGTATGGCAAAATGCTAAATATTCTGGAATTAGTGAAAAAGTTTTGAGAGAAAATGATGATGATCTAATATTAAGTGGAAAAAAATGTTGTCCCAAACTATATGAGCTCTAAATTCTATAAAAATATACTTATGTCAAATTATGAGCTGAGGAAAGTCCTTGAAGGGAATATACCACAATTTTGAATTATCAACTCACTGTGGTATGTTTGTAGGTATTTTTGTATTTTTCTGTATATTGTCACTTCTACAATAAATATGCACTCCCTTTATAAGGAGAATTAAAACTATTATAAGTTATTTTTTTGAAGTTTCCAGGGCTGCCACTTGTCTTTCTTCCAGCTTCTTCCTCCCTATCTCAGCCAAACTGGTGTAGTCGGCCTCTCACTTGCCTGTTTGGTGGTGTGGTCCATCACTCTTCTCTGCCTGCTCCCTCAGCTTCCCTCTCCTCTCTGCAAATAGCATTGTGGAAGTCAAGGCCATCTAAAATGAGTTGCCTCTCTTTCCCTTCCATTCAGTTACCCTGTGTTCTCACCCCATCCTTCTCCTTTGCTTCTCAAAGGATGAATAGACTAACCTTCCCTGAGCCCACAAATATCTTCAGGTCTCCCTCACCCACAGGTAGCAATTCCCCAACTGTGCTGCTCCATCCAGTGACTTAGCTCATTTCCTTTAGTATAAATGACTAGTCTGACCTCCTCCATAACCTCTTCACTACCTATAACCCTGACAGACTGATTTTCATTCCAGCATTCCACTGTCACCACCTTGCCACTGACTCAAAGTTGATGTCAAATAGGTGACACAGGGAAAATACGATGTGCATTTCTTGGTGTTCCGAGACTACCTAACTTCCTCTAATAGAAAAATTAAATGAAAGTAACCCTGCTACTATTGAGTAACCCCATAAGTTCTTCCCAGACTCACCTTTGATTAGTTATATGTTTTTTGTTTAACTGAATTTTTATTGACAGTATTACAGAATCATATGCAGTTATGAGAAGTTATTCAGAGATTCCATTATAATATGCCCAGATTCCCAGTAGTAGCATTTGCAAAAGTATAGTATATCACAGCCAGGATATTTACATTTGTTCTGATTTACATTTTCCCAGTTTTACTTGTTCTGGGGTGTTTGTGTGTGTGTGTGTGTGTGTGTGTGTGTGTGTGTGTGTGTGTGTATTTAGATCTATACGATTTATCGCATGGTAGGTTTGTGTCTCAGCTACCAGAGTCAAGATACTGAATGGTTCCAACACCATAAAGATCCTTCTTTTATGGTCATACCCAGTACCATCTATTTCTTCCTAATATATATTCTCTTATTTCTACTGTCTTATTGCAGTGGCTAGAATTTCTAGTACTATGCTGAATAAGAGTAAGGAAAGTAGACATTCTTCACTTGTTCTCAGTCTTAGAGAGAAAACGAAATGCTTAGAAGCATTCTGTCTTTCACTGTTAGGTATGATTTTTTAATAGATATTCTTATCATTGAGGCATATCTCATTATGAACTTGCTGAGTGTTTTTGTTATGATTAAATGTTGGATCTTTTCTAATGCTTTTACTGCATCAATTAATATAATCATATAATTTTCAGATCAGTTTGTTTATTCACATGGTGGATTGACTTTCCAAATTTTGATGCAGCCTTGCATACTTGGAATAAATTCTACTTGGTCATAGTGTATAATTATTTTTATGTTGTTGGACTCTGCTATATTTTATAGGGGATATTCTGCATTTACTTATTCATGAGCTATTTGTCTGTTGCTTTGTCTTTCTGTGCTTACTGTCTTAGTCTGGTTTTGGTGTCAGGGTAATAGTTTCCTCATAAAATGAGTTTGGAAGTATTTTCTCCTCATTTTCTGAAAGAAATTGTGTAAAATGATGTTACTTCTTTAAATGTTTAAAAGTTCCAGTGAAATCTCTAGGCCTAAAAATTTCATTTGGAAAAGGTTTTAAAATTATGAATCATTTTCTGTAATACCATTCAGTTTCTATTTCATCTTGGGTGAATTACGATAATTTGTGATTTCCAAGGGATCTGTCCCCTTAGTTGTCAAATTTTGTGAGTGTAAAGTTGTTGGTAGTATTCCCTTAATATCTTTTTAATGGCTATAGTATATATAATGTTTCACTCCTGATATTGTTGATGGATTTATTTACTTTCTGTTCTTCCTAGAGATTTATTAGTTTTATTGTTTCATTTATTTTTCTCTGTTGTTTTCAATTTTGTTGATTTCTGCTCTTATTCTATTTATTTCTTTCCTTCTGCTTTTCTTTCCTTTTTTAAATTTCTTGATATCACTACTTAGTAAGAAATGTCTTCATTTCTAATATAAACATTTAGTGCTATAAGAATTTTCCTCTCCTCACTACTTTAGTTGAACCACATATATTTTGATATGTTTCACTTCATTCAGTTATAGATATTTTTATTTCCTTTGAGACATCCTCTCTAACCCATTGTCTGTTTAGAAGTGTGCTATTTAATTTTCATGTATTTGGAGATGTTCCTATTGTATTTTTGCTATTGATTTCTAGTTTGTTTCAGTTAGATCAAGAGCACATTTTGTGTAATTTCAGTTCTTTCAAATTAATTGAGGTTTGTTTTATGGCTCAGGATATGATCAATCCTCGTGAATGTTTTCATGAGAACTTGAAAAAAATAATGTGTATCTGCTGTGGGATCTTTTTTCCAGTCATGAACTTTAAGTAAAAAGAGCTAGAAAAAGGTAAGAAATCATGTGAACCTACCCCCAGACAGTAGAGATAGTAATAAAAAGAGTAGTTAGAGAGCTGTCACAGAAAATGTAGAAAATTACTAGATTTGGGAGATGGTTAAAGGAATTCTCTAGGATGGATCAACATACTTGGGTTTCTCTGACTGTGCAGACAGTATTGCCAGTAACCAAGATGTGGAATACACATCCTGAGTTGAGATCATAGGTTTATTTGAGATACACCCAGTTTTACATACCTGTGGTGACATCTAGGTGAACAGGCAGAAGAAAGTCTAAAGACGTAGATTTAGAAATCTCAAAATTAGTGATTATAATCTTACCTTCCAAGAAAAAGTCTAGGGAATGTCATTGAATGCAAGGTCTAACTACAAATGGGAAGATTTGAAGTCAGTTCTATATCAGAACTTTTAAGGTATAAGATCCTTACTGTTAAAACTACCTGAGCAGGTGAAGTTGCTTTGGGTATCAAATTGTAAGGGAAGCATAAAAAAAGGGAGAAACTGGACATGAGGAGGCTGGTTTTCAAGGAAGTTTTGTCTTTGGGAACTTGGAGTATGGAGTGAGATGTCTCCATGCTGGATCCCAGGACTCCTGGAAGAGGAAAATAAGCCTTGCTTAGACAAAGGGTAGAATTCCACTCCTGTATAGGAAAGCACAGCCTAATTCCTATAGATATATAGATAACATGGGAAGGGAGATTTATGGTAAGGGAGGTGGTTGCAAGGTGGCAATAAATTTCAAGAGCTTCTGTCCGGCATCCCCTTCATAACTGTTCCAAGTGTTTGTTGCAAGTTTTCCTCTATTTTACTTGTTGTAAGAAATGGCAAGGGCAGCATCTCACTCAAATCACAGCCAGATACAACCAAACATCAGGTTTTTCTTTTCAGAGGATATTTTTTAAAAATAAAACGTAAACTTCTCCAAATTAAAACAGAGAAGACTCTTGGCTGAACTCTTTACTAAAAAAGCACATTTTTCCCCTTAGCTGTAGACCAGAACTATGAGGAAACCCAACATAAAGCTCTGTAGCTAGGAAATAGAACATGTAATACAGTCAAACAAGTAACTGAAACTTGGTAAGGAAAACAAGAAAATTTGGAGTTTCTTTCTTAGGAATTGAAAAAACTAGAAGTGATCTCATCATTTTTGGAATTTTCTAACAGAATCACCTCTTTTGCTAGGCAGGGAGCCTGTTTATCCTGGTTAGAAGGAGAGAGCACCCTTGTAAAAGTGAACTACCTCATTGAAAGGTGAAAGGCAAGCTTGAAGCAGGCTCTAGGGTAGCAGGACTCTTGGCAGCTGGAGAAGGGGACCCCAGAGCTCCGTAGCTGTGCTGTGCTTGGTCCCACATCCAGCAGAACTCGTATTTCCAAAGCGCCAATGAAATAAGAACTTGGTGGGGGTGGGGGTGGGGTGCAGCACAGTAAAGAGGAAATAATATAAATTTTAAGCGCAGACATTGCAGCTGTTGCAGCCGAGCTAGAGGACAGCATATTTGGGCAGGAATCCAGGAAGCAGAAACACTGAGCATATAAAAGGAGCAAAAAGCTTTCTTGCTACTCTATCGATCGAAAAAAGAACAAGTCAGTTCAAAATCCATCAGAATATCTTTCTGGAAACTCAGAATTGGGGGAGGATGAGATGATCTTGACAGCCATTCTATTTTACCATCTTCCACACCCTAAGAGGGAAATTTGCCAGAGGGTTTGAGCTTACCATCAAAAGTCTTTTGAAAGTTTCACCCAGTTGAATATTTGCTGTTACCATTTTTAAAAAGCTACCAGTTGTGTTTGGAGGCTTCAACAAAATACCAGCTGAGAACTAGTATTGGATTCACCTAAAAATCCCCCATCTGGGTGAGCAAGCTGACAGGATGGAGAAGGGGGTGAATCTTTAGGATCCCCAGAATTCTGCTCTCTGGCAGGACAACCAACATCCTTGATTTCATGCTCTCCTATTTTAAGCTTAAAAATTACATTTAGTTCTTATGAAAAAGGTGTCAGTATGGCAGTACTCAGAGGTCACTAGGGAGCCACGTGGCCGTGCGCTCCACAGGAGCTGGCGAGCCCGCCTACATCCACGCCATGGTGTGTGCAGCACTGCGTGGAGCTGCTTGCTGTCTTCCGTCCTCGTGCTCTTTTTCTCCTGTCTCTGAGTTTACCTTTGAACCTTCCGTTCTTCCTCTGTGACTTTGTCCCTTGCATTTCTCCTGAGCTGGCCTCTGAGAGGGTAAACACATGGCATCACTGTAGAGAGGAGGGCAGAGCTGGTCTGAGCAAAGCAGCCCTATTTCCTAGTTAAGTGATATTTGCCAGGCACCCACACAATGCCTGGCTCAGTCAACAGTGACATCCATCTCCTTCCCTTCCTCTCCCCCTTCCACTCCCCCATCCCATCTTAAGGCTCCAGCCTCCTATCAACTATTTCCCTTCTATCTGCTCCCCATGCCCTGCAGAGCTGGGACTCACCAGCCTTCAGTGAGAGCATCACGCAGCACAGTCAACCCTTCGCCTCTGAACTATGAGGCAGCCTCTTCCCCCTCCGACCACTACGTGGGGAGGCTGGCTAAATGGGTCTATTTGTAAGAGCAGTGAAGGTCTCTAAATCTAGGAAGGCTGGAGCATGAGGGTCAGAAGCCCCTGAAGTTGCATCCAGGGGTGACTTGTCCTGTCCTGCTGTCCCTCTAGGGAGATCTGTGTGCTTTGTGTCCTAGAACTGATCTGGACCTGGCCTTGAATTCCACAGCTGTGAAGTGGGAGAGAGAACAGAGGACATTTGTAATGTCCCCTGGGTCTGAGAATCTATGATTCTGCATCTATTTAATTCATGTTTTAGCTTCTCAAGTCTCTTTCCCTTAGATGCTTTTCCAAGCAGCAGTAAGCTCATCTGAAAAATTACTTTATGTTCTGAATGTGTGATGACTGGCAGTGGATCATAATGATAGCAGCTAACATCAGTAAGCATTTCTGTGGTGCCAGGGACCTGCTACCTGCTTTCATGTCTTGTTAAACTTCATTCTCACCATTACCTGGTGGAGTGAGTTATTTTAATTCTCACATTTCACAGATGAGCAAACTAAGGCTTTGCAAGTTTAAATTATTCCAGAATACAAGCAGTGGAGCCAGGTTTCAGACCAGCGCTGACCCAGCTTTAAACCACCTTCTGCTCTTCTACCTCCTTGCGTTAGGAGCAGGGGACTATAGTGCCAAGAAACTCCTGAGAAAGTACACATTTGCTGGAACTTCCTCAGACCCCTGCCCTGCCACTGTCAAGTCCCTGGGGAGAGTGACTGAAGAGGACAAACCTGCAATTCTGCAACAGGAGTGCTGGTGTCACCTGCAACCAGGTGTGGGCCAGACACTGGGCTTCCCCTGGTTCTTGACCCCACACAAACCAGACACACAAATGTGGATTCATGTCCAGGGATGAAGTATAGGTGACTGCTTCTCAGGATCCAGCCAACCCAGTTGATCTAATTAGATGAATGGAAGAGAAAGGCAGAGGACGAGAGATCTAAATCCACTGCCGGTTTCTCCTGCTCCCGGCAGCGTGGCTGCAAGGAAGCTGAGTAAACTCATTGATGTGACCACAGCCCACATGCCTTCAGCACCTCGAATTCCCTCATCCCTTCCAGGCTGGTCTTGATATTTCCTGCAGCCTCTGGCTTGGCTCCCTTCCATGGTTAGAACTTGCCATACAAATCTGACCCAAAGAGCTGGAGGTGGTTGTGTAACAGAGGACTTTATTTTTAATCATAGAGCCAGGAGCTGTGGGACATCTGAGTTTCACAGAGATTCTGGACACATCTCTCAAGGTCAGCTGGCAGGAGCCTCTGGAGAAAAACGGCATCATTACAGGTGAGAGTCCCCATTTTCCAAAAAAAGAAAAAGCAAGTTTACACCAGCACAGGGAGGCCGAGACTGCTTCCAGCAAAACGGCTGACAGAGTGTGCCTGTCTGTCTGTGTTTTTACCAACTGCCACATCAGCCTGGGGCTTGGTTACCCACCAGGGCCAGCCCCAAAAGCCCAACCACATGTGGGGGCCTTCCCCTGCATGGGCTTCAGCCTCAGAGATCAGACCTGGTCTCCTTGCATTCTCTTACCAAACCTCTCAGATCTCTTTGATCACAAGAATGCATTACTTTATGGTGTTTTTCTCCCACACACTTTTATCTCCCTTAATTCTCATGTAAACACAATAAGGCAAACACTGAGATTAAAACTGTTGTAGACGAGGAAACTGAGCCTGGGAGAGATGAGGTGGTCTTTCCTCTTCAGCACATGCGCACTGAATGCCTACTCTGTGCAGGTGCTGTGCTGAAAGTCTGCAGATCTGGAAAGGCCTAACGTGGGGCAGAGCTGACGAGGCCTCCTGCTAGAGAGATTTGAGGGCTCTTCTTACAAATACGCACTTTCAGGCCCCGCCCTGGCCTTTCAGAACACACTGCACACTTGACTTCTGTTTTAAATCTTAAAGGAAGCCCCATAGGTGTAATCATTTGAGTTGAGCCAACATTTCACAGCTAAGCGGTGGTTTCCAATAGTTCCAATTTATGATCATCTGTGTTCTCCAGCTATTAGGCCTTAATGAACTCATTTTCGTATTTTATTTAAACAAATACCTGTAGTCACAAGCAACAGTTTATTGTTTATTGTGGAACTTGACCTTCAAAGCCCTGACTTTTGGAGTTGGAGCCAGCAGGCAGCTTGCACTCCTGATCCTGGGCTGGGGGGCTCACTATAGCAGAGCTTCGGGCAGACATTCTGCTTTTGTCCTCCCTGGGGTCACATTGCCCCCCCTCTCACTTTGTCTGGCCCATGCCACCTACACCATAATATGTGCCTGGCATCCCAGAAGACCTGCCTAGAGGTGTGGCCTGCCAGTTGTCTCCGTGCCTCACTGGCTGTCCGGGCAGCACCTGCCCTTAGCAAGACTGGCCCTGGCCCTGGCCACTCTGCCCCCAGACAGGTCAGCACCCTCCAAATCGAAGTGGGTCTCCTATGGAGCATTCCAACAGCTCCCTGGCCTATTTTACCAAGCGCAGCAAGAGAAAAACAATGTTTTAGGCAAACCTGGCCTCTAAAGCCATTTTCTGGAAATGTTGCTGTGGCTCTGCCATCCCTTTGAAGCCTTCCCCATTAAAGCTGTAGGTGGCTGTTAGAGGCAGATGACAGCATAATAGCCTGGTCCTTTGCACAGCGTCATGTGGTTGGAGGCCTTATAGGAAATGATAGTTTATCAGCCTTGGTGCTAGTAAGCGGAGAGCTTCCCCTCTGCCTTGTTTTGTTTTAGTTCAGGACCAAGAAGAGGGAAACGCTGAGTAGGGGGTGGCCCACCCACCCCAGAAAATTGCCCACTGCACTCTCATTGTAAATTTCAACCTCTCCCACTCTCCCTCCGTAAACTCTGATTTATGAGGGCTGGGATGCAGACAGACAGTTTGTGATTGGATGTACTGCTCTCTTGTAGGGAATTTACTTCAGATCAACAGAAAATTATTTCAGAAGCTCCTACAGTCGTTAGTCTCAGTTAGGCAGCCGTTCAGAGCAGGTAGGACGCCAGCTGGAGGCACTGCTCCTGGCAGGGGCTGACTCCTCGCTCCTCGCTCCTCTGCATGCAGGAGCCAGAGGGAACACTTCTGGGCCATCCCCATGCACCTCCCAGAAATAACGGAGGCCTCTCTGCCCCACGTGCCACTGCTGTGTCCCTGTGCAGACTTCACATGGCCCCTTTCTTAGGCATCTAAGCCAGCACTTTCTTTCTTCAGGTATTTTTGAGGGTCTTGGCTTAGTTTGTACCCACAGTAACTTTAACATACCAAATTATTAATTTTGATACTAATAAATCCCAGCACTTACCCAACATGCTAGAATTGCTGTGTTTGGCCTCCAGGCCACCATGATGTAAAGGTGCTGTATTTTGGTAGATTTTGATGCAGAACAGCTTTTAAACAAATAAAATTGTGTGACAGGGAGGCTGTGACACTAAAGAAAGCCTCCTTCTCCTGTCCACTTGAGTAGACCCTGAGTACCAAACTATTCAGAGATTTTTCAGACCTAAGCACCCAGTTGGGGGATGATTTCATGTTTCCTCCTAGGTGGCAAGGGTTGGGGAGAAAGTGGCACTGCAGGAGGCACCTTCAGCAGCATGAGGAGCCTGGGAAACCGTAGAAATCCCCCCAACTGCTGGCAAGTTCACAGCTTACTGCACCTTGGTTTTCTCCTTTGTGAACTGGAGATAAACATGGTTCCAACCTCAAGGTTTATTGTGAGGATTAAAGGAAATTAACACGTGTACAGAAAGGCCGCCAGTACTCTCTGTACTGGAAGTTACTAGTATTCTCAGCCTAGAAGGCTTGTTGTGGTTGTTATCTTCATGGTACATTTTGTTCCCAATCCTGGCTAGAGTGCTGGCCCCCGGAGAACGAGCAGGGTTAGCCATCAGGATGGTTAAGGAGGAGTCTCTAAAGTCTCAACCCAGGGCTAGATGGGGACTCCAAGGTCACGGTTGGGATGGGAAAGGGCAGCTGTGCGAGGGCACATGCACGAGCCCCTGGAGAAGAGAAAAAGCAAGGCCCAAGGCCAAGCTGAGAGCCATAAGCAGACGAGTTCAGGGTTAAGCGGTCTTCAGGGGCCTGGGGCAGAGACCTTGGAGCATGGCAAGGCCTCAAGCAGGCATGCAGCTAACATGATTTGACAGTTCTGATGTGTGTTGAGGCACCAGGTACGGCATCCATGCCCTGCCTGCCTCTGCTCCTCACATGCCCCCGCAGCCCGGGAGCCTCAGTGCCATGCCCAGAGGTGCTGGACCGTCAGGTTCCGTGGGGTGGCAGGCAGGTGGCGGCTTCTGATGTTAGGTTTTTTCCAAAATATTAAAGTCCCAAGATGCTTTCCTCTAAATGCTTGTGTGTCTATGAGTGCAAGTTTCTAACTGTATTTACTGCTTCCATGAGGAGGAGGAAGAGAGCTAAGGTGCCTCCCGTGCTTTAGCGCCCCTGGGCTCATTGCCTGGGAAGAGGGAAGAGCAAGCACTTTCTCGCTTCCCTTTGTCTCCAGGCTCAGGAGCTCTTTCCATCACTGTCTCCCCTTTACCAGACACTCCTTAGCCTGTTCTAATCACATAAACTCCCCTCCATGGGGCCAATTCAGGGGCTAACTGGGCCTTTTTTCTCTGAGACCCACATCATGATGGAATCTGAAGCTGAATAAATTGTGATTATGAGACCCCATTGGACTGAACAGAGTACAAGGGAAATCAGATTTCACTAGGAAAACAGGGGATTCAAAAAGAGGGAGGCAGAACCAGAAGACTTTTGTACTCAGATAAAACACTGGAAGGCAAAGCACTATTTACAATGAAAGAGTGCCGGACACATCATTTCATAGCAGAAAAAGTAGCAGTAATTCCACAAGTTAGCTGGAGCCCAAGAGTAGGCTACTGACTGGGTACTGCATAATGAGAGCATCAACTTCTAAAAATGCAACTGCTGATAAAATGCATCCAGAATTTGACAAGAGACAGTTGAATCAAGTGAAGCAGACTGGCAGTCTTTATTCTTCATTCCATGCACTGGGGACCAAGGTTACCAAAATGTTGCACAGGCCCTGCCCTCCTATAGCTCACTGTCACGGAGGAGAGGACCACTGTGGATTGAAAAGTGATGCGATGGAAATTTCTGGGGGAGCACAAAGGAAGGAGCCCTTTCTAGTAGGGCAGTGGGTTGTCATCACTGTTGTCTCAGATCTGCGCAGGTGACAGAGGTGCGGTGTCCAGCCTCAGCTCTTGGCCTTCAGAGGACCTAAATTAACCCTCCTGTTATCAATTTCTAGGCTATCAGATTTCCTGGGAGGTGTATGGTAAGAACGACTCTCGTCTCTCACACACTCTAAATAGCACAACTCACGAATACAAGATCAAAGGACTGTCCTCTCTCACCACCTACACCATCGACGTGGCTGCTGTTACTGCTGTGGGGCCCGGCCTGGCAACATCATCCACCATTTCTTCTGGAGTGCCTCCAGGTCAGTAAAATCTTGGCGAGCTTTCCTTGCCTCCGCATTTCAGGGGCTAACTGGGCCTTTTTTCTCTGAGACCCACATCATGATGGAATCTGAAGCTGAATAAATTGTGATTATGAGACCCCATTCTTTGTACAGACGCTGCCTGCCAAGGTGGTTAGGGGTGAGTGGATAATGCCCAAACTCAGCTTCGTAGTCTAGTGTCTTTTTAGGGTGGCTTAACATTTCTTTTTTAGGGTGTGGATTATGGGAATGTGCTTATGGGAGGGAGGAAAGAGATGGATTCCATAAAGTGTGAGCCTAAGTGGAGGACCACACAGTAGAAAAACACAAACTTTGTGTTATGTGGGTAATAAATTAAGAACAGGAAGTGAAAACTATTCACTGAACAAAACAATAAAAATTTAAGTTTGAATTTAAAAAACAAAGTAGGAAGCAATGTGAAGGAAAGGTAAAGAGATGGGGGGAGAAAAATATAAGCAATGGTGCAGTATTCTTGCTAAATGAACAGAGTGCTTGGGTTGAATTTGACCTTGGTGTGGACATGGGTTACACCTGCTCTCATGTCCTTTTTGAAGTTCAGATCTCTTCCTAAATAGCCAGCTTACTTCTTTTCAGCTTTAGAAAATTATTACTCACTTTTCTCTCTAATTGTAAAGTTTGTATTTAAAATGAAAGTGTTTTTTCAAGGATTCACAGGTTCCTGTCATGAGAAAATACTGTGGAGTTATTAGTTCAATTCTGAGATTAAAGCCATAAATCTCTTGCCATTTAAAAGTCATCAATTTGCCTTAGTTTAGTCTTTAAGGAAAGCATGGAGCCTCGGTATAATGCCCTGAATGTAAAGATCCCTTTCCAACAGCATTTACTCCGTACATAGACCCTCAGATCCAGTTCAGTCTTCATAACCTAATTGCTGTCCTGGAAGGGTGACGTGCGCGACCTGAAGAGAATACACAAGTGAAATGTATGCAGAATAAAAAGCCTACAGTGATAAACCTGCTCCTGCCTCATCTCACATTCCGCTCTAATGAGCCAGCAGCCTGTGTTGTATGTGGTGTCAGAGAAGGACGAGGGGGACATGTTTCCTCTCATCTGGCAGTATGACCTCATATGGCACTTTCTGGAAACCACGAACAACCTATACTGCCAGCAGTGGAGCCTTGAGCCCAGCACTGTCCCAAAGATAGCCCAGTTTTTCTGTCCACCCATAGATAGCCCCATATCCTCCCTCAAAGGTGGTGGTTCTGACACTGTCCAGGGCATCAGAATCACAGGGGCTTCTTAAGATTGCTTGGCCCCCTCCCTCGTGTCTACTCTGTGACTATGAGGCGTGGCTGGAGCGTTTGCCTGTGGAACAACTTCTCAGGTGATGTCTATGCAATTGGTAATTTTTTAAAAGGCACTTGCAAAATAAATCTCTTCTTGAAAGAAGGAATTCTTTGTCTTGCAGAAAGATTAATGTTTCCCAGGTAGATAGTCAGCTCCTGCAGCGCCTACTGAGAGCATTTAAAGCCAGTTCCCAAAGCTCGTACTTAAAATATTGTTACTGTGCTGAAGTAGTGATGATGGTGGTAGCGTGTTCTTTAATTTGCTTGCACATGGCAACTGAGAACCACATTGAGAGGGAGGGAGGGAGGGCGTGTGTTTGACCAGAGTTTTCCCTGAGATGGTCTGGGCACTGTCCAACTGGGGCAGTACACCAGTCCTGCTGACCTCCACCGGCCTCCACATCTGATTACTGTGACCTGAGCTGTACAGAAACTGCAGAGTGAGGACAGGAGGGGAGAGGGGACTGGCTGCTGGGACACCTCTGATACCCCAGGTGAAGGGAGCCACGGAACTGCTATGGCTTCATTTACAGGTCAGATCACCTGTGGCTGGAGATTGCTCTTGAGACTTCCCTGAGCGATCTAAGTATTGACTAGAAGCAAAATCACATTATGATGGTCACTTAGGGGGACTGTCTTATGTTTGCTGTGGTTGAAGTTTACATCCATTAGTGACTAAAGAACCATTTACGAAGCCAGAGAGCCGAGGAATATAAAGAAGAGTCACTTGTCCTTCGATTTAAACATTTTCTGCTTCAAACTCATTAAACTAGATATGAAAAAGGACCCTCGAGATCCTAGAGAGCTTGCCTCTGCCAATACTGAATTGATCACCAAAGTGGTTGTGTTGACTCTGTGCAAGACCTGGTTTCAAATACCCCAAGCAATGGCACAGCAGGAAGTCACTCCTCAGAAACAGCATGGTCTGACAGCCCTTTTTGGCGACTTGCGTTGTCTTTTCCCCTCTTCATTCTGCCCCATTATCTTTCTCTAGAGAGTATTTTGCGTTGCACAACAATATAAGAGCTCTCATCCTGAGCTCATGGTAATCACTTCTGACTTGGACAGGCTCTCTGGGTGAGCAGCCTACTGCAGGAGGAGTAGGCGTGCCATGGGTGACCTCAGATGATGGGCACCTCCTTCAGAACCACCTTCCCTTCATTTAGTTGCCAGAGAAACTGAACACAGGCAGAGTGTGAAGAGTTCTGCACTTTCACCTGCATTCAGTTGTCCTGGAAACCAGTCCCAGGAAGCCTAAGCCCACAACCTACACACCTACCCATGTCGTGCTGCCTGGAAGTAACACAGGGCCGTGGGCACGCTCCTGTCCCCTGTCCCCATTCTCTTTCCAAGACAGCGTAGTGGTCATAAAAAGGAGTGGTCACATCTTTTAGGAGCCTAGAAAGGATAGTGGTCATGTCTTTTAGGAGCCTGGAAAAATTACCTTCATTCATCCTTTCTTCATCCAAATACCTATGAATTACCTATTGTGTACAGTGGTGAGTAAGACATGGTCCCTACCTTCAGAGTTTATCCCCTAAGAGGTTACATGAGTATGTCTCCAGTGCCTCTTCAGATGACTTGGAACCTGATGGGTGACCCTATTAAAGTAAGAATTATGTTGTGAGCATGTCCTTGGGAAAGTTTAGCTTCTCCCTTTCACGGTTTTGAAAACAAACCCTATTTTTGGCAGCATGGTGTTTTGAGACTATTTACTTGCTGACATGTTTGATATATTTCCTGAGCTGTGACAGAATTTAAATCTCTACTTTTCCTCTCTCATTTGTCTCTAGAACTTCCTGGTGCCCCATCCAATTTGGTCATTTCCAACATCAGCCCTCGCTCTGCTACTCTTCAGTTCCGACCAGGCTACGATGGGAAGACATCCATCTCCAGGTGGATTGTAGAGGGGCAGGTATGTGTCTCAACTAAGGGTCAGAGTTTCCTAGGAGTGATACTGGGGTCTCTACTTGGGGGCAGTTAAGTGATGCCTCTGCAGAACAATGACTCACGGGCTGGAGCTGCTCAGCCGCCTGGGAGGTGGCTGTGTTTTAGGATCAGAGAGCCAGAGACTGGAGACAACTGAGGTGCAGGATCACCTTGTCACTCCCCACCAGCTCTATATCTTATGATCTCATTCCTGAATGATTTTTTTCTACTTAACTATTTTCTTACAGTACTCAAAATGGTACTTTTTTAATCAATCTTTCCTCCTTTAGTAGCTCATCTCTGAAAAGAAATACTTCCCCTCATCACTTCAGTTATTTAGTTACCCTAAAAATGGGAAGGAAGGTAAATTCCAAATCCTTTTCCTTTGATTACCAATTTCAAAGTAATCTGGTCATCTAGTTACTTCCGATGTTGAAAAAATTTTTCTTTTTTTTTTTTTTCCGCACTGCTATCTCTTTCCCAAGTTACCAGTATTTTTTAATATATCCATTTTTAATATAGTCAGTGCCTTTTAATCACCTACAGTTATTATTCTTTTTGAACCTAATTGACCCATCTTTGGCCAGGGGTCAGGCCTTCATGTTCTATGCTTCAACAAGAGAACTCTAATCTTTGATGATATCTTTGCTTTCTGATACAATAGGATGCCTTAGATTCACCTATGACTGCCTGCCCCAAGTGCAAATTGAGCTACAGGATTCTTACCTGGCAAGTTTAGTGTCAAGTGGCATTTAAAGACCCAAATCTGGATATAGGGCAACTGAGGGTTGCTAGTGGTTGGTCATTGCTTCTAAACCTTTCCAGTGCACACACAGAGGACATACATACTTTTTTGAAACATCATGAGATCATAATGGTATTTCCAATGCAAATTGAAGATTACTTAACTTGGAATTTATATTTTAAATACCTTTTTCATATGCTAAAATTGTTTTTAATATTAACATAATTACTCATTTTCTTTATCCTACTATTGTATAAAAAGTTTTCAAGCTGTAATTTCAATGCCACTCCTAACAATAAGGCTACTGAATGAAATTTAAGCATTTTTTTGTTTCTTAGACTGTATTCCACTGTGGATGTACAGTCAAAATACTGAATTCTAAATTCTTTTCTCTGTGCAGTTATATCACCAACTAAATACAAAATTAGGTTTATTCATTTCAGAGTTTTTGTTTTGTTTTGTTTTGCTCTTTTGCTTCAAATTTTAGTGATTGCTTTCTTTAAAAATCCTTTTGCTTTTTTAAAACATTGTTAAAACATCTTAAATTGAATATATTTTTGAGCATGTCACTGATTTACATGATCTCAAAGACAAAACTATAGAAAAGGCATAATCATATAAGTTCATGTTCACCTTTTCCTTTTACACTGTCACTTCTCTCCTCCAAATGCCCCATATTAGGTTTTAAGTTTATTCTTTCTTGGTTTTTTGAAGCATAAGCAAATATACATATATGTGCCCACCTTTCTTACATCATAACATGCTGTGCCTTCCTATCTTCAACTGGCAACAACCCCAAAGATCACTCTGTACCTTGTGTGGAGAGCGCCCATATCCCTTTTACAGTTGCAGAGTCTTCCCTCATGTGGATGATTTAAGGTTTGTTCATCTAACCAGCCCTCTGCTGTCAGGCATCAGGGATGTACACTAGTTTTCTGTGGCTGCAATAATAAGCTACTAACCCTTAGTGGCTTGAATAGCACAAATGTATTCTCTTGCAAGTCTGTTGGTTAGAAATCCAAATTGTATTTCATGGACTCAAATCAACGTTTCAGCAGCATTGCATTCATGTCTGGAGGATCTAATTCCTTGTTGATTCAAATGGTTGGCAAAATTCACTTCTTTATAGTTCTAGAACTGTGCGGGCTGTGAGCTGAGAGCTGTTCTTAATTCCCAGTGGCCATCACATTCCTTGGCCTGTGGCCCCATTCTTCATCTTCAGAGTCAGAAATGACTGGTCAAGTCTTTTTCAGGTTTCAACTCTCTCCTCCTTCCATCAGATCCATTTTCTACTTTTAAGGATTTGTGTGATTGTGTTGAACCACAAAGCTAATCCAGGATAATCTCCCTATTTCAAGGTTTTTAACTTTAATCACTTTTCCAAAGTCCCTTTTCCCATGTAAAGTAATATACTCACAGGTACCAGGGATCATGGTGTGGAAACCTCTGAGGCCTAAGCATTTTGTATTTTTGCTACTATGTGTTTGGGTTAGATTCCTAAGAGCAGTATTGTTGAATCAAACAACTAATGTATATGTGAATTTTCTAGAAATTACCAATTCCCTCTTCTACAGATTGTAGCATTTTGTGTTCCCATCACATTTTGCGTATGTAATTTTTTGTCATGCAAAAAAAATCTGAAGTCTAATTTATCAATCTGCTTTTACAGGTTTTTAGATTTTTGAGTCATATTGCAACAGTTTCCCCCATGCTCAAGTTATAAAGGCATTCATCCAATATTCTACTGCCACTTTTAGTGTTTCATTTTTGTATTTTGATCTCCATTATTTGGAGTTTGCCCTTATATAGAGAGTGAGGTATGACTCTATTTTTATCATTTTGCAAATAGCTATGCAGTTGTTTTAAAGCCATTTATTTTAAAGTCCATTTTTTTTCTCTTCCTGATTTGTAAAATTAAATTCCCATGTGTACTTGAGTCTATTTCTGAACTTTTTATTCTATTCTATTAGTCTGGTTATTCATGCACTAACTCCACATTGTTTAATTATAGAGGTTTTAAATTACATTTTAACATCTGGTAAGATCTCCCCAGTGCCCCCAGCAATGCGTGTGTGAGCGCACACACACACACACACACACACACAGAGCTTGACTTAGTTAGGATTTTCCTGGCCTTGTGATCTTGTATGAGGCTGAGTCTTTCTATCCAGAAATATTATGAGTGTTCCCATTTGTTTAATTCTACTTTTGTTAGCTATTTTCTTCTTATGAAATCACTACATGCTCTCAGAAAGGCAGGAAAAATGATCCTGACTCTGTGATCTGGACATACTACTTAACTTCTTTGTGAACCTTAATTTCCTCACCTGTAAAATATGGTCACTGGTACTATTTGCAAGATTTTATGTGTATTTGTAATTTCATTTTCTGACTTTGCTGCTGGCATCTAGAATCACTATTGATTTTTGACCATTTTTCTGTATTGAGTGAACTCTTATGTGTTCTAAGTGCTTTTACAAATATTAACTCATGTAATCCTGATAACGATTCTGGAGTGGTTGCTGTTGCGTTTCTTAGAGATAAGACACGCACGGGTTGCAGTATCAGGGTCACACAGCAAAGCCAAGGAGTCAGTTTGCACTGGAACATCCTGGCTCCAGGATTCACACCTGTGACCTGGGTATGTGCCCCTGCTCAGCCTGGTGTGTTGGTGTCGTAATCAGAAAATTTGAGAATCTCCTTGTTAGCTTGTTACTTCTACTAAAGTTTTCTATAAATAAATCACATCATCTATTAATAGTGACAGTTTGTTTCTTCCTTTGATATTTTTACATCTTTTTTCCCTCTTTTTTGTCTCTTTTTATTAATTCATTCTGTAATCTTATTGAGAGAACTAAATCTTGTATCATATTAAATTGGAACAGTGTTAGAACAATCTTTGTTTTATTACTAACTTCAAAGAAATTATTTTACTATTTAATCATGTACATTTTTAGTGGGTTTTTTGGCTACCTTTTAATAAGCTACCTACATTCAGTTAAGACAACTTTCTTCTAATCCTGTTTGTTAGGTGTTATTTTGGGGGGGGGGGCTTTTAAGAAATAATAAAGAAGTCTAATTTTATCAAATTATGTCTTCCATCTATTGAGTTGTTCACTTGTTTTTTCTTCTCCATCTGGTGGGAAGGAAATGGGTATATGGATATTCTAATATCCAACTATTTCATTGTTCCTGAGATGAACACAACCTGATTATGATGTTTATTTGGTTTGGGCTATAAGATTTTTATATCTGTGTTCATAAGTGAACTTGGCTTTTTCTGGTTGTTGGTTTAGTTTTGAAGATCAATAGTTTCTTTTCTCACCAGTTTTCATAAACAGGAACTTGATTGCGTTGTGGACAGAGGTGAGAGGCAGGATTGCTGATGACCCGACCTCACTGGCCCAGTGGGATCTTGTGGGCATCTTTTTAAATGCTCGGCATTCTCAGTCCTGTGAGTCAGTGCATGGGGAGATTTTAACACACACCAATACCCAGGCCCCACCTGAAATCAGTTCATTGGATTCTTTGGGTCCAAGGCCTTGTTGGATTTGCATGTAACTTCCCAGATACAGAGTGAATGGAAAGCTATTGTCTCTGGTCCTGCTCCAGGGACCCAGAACCCTGGGTCTCAGAGGTGGGACTGCTTGGTAGCCAGCCCCTCCCCAGCTAACATCCTCTGCATGCAAATGACTTTTCATGGATGATCTAGACTTTCTGGATCTCTGTTTTGCTGGGAGAATGTGAGGGAGCTCCATCCTTCTCATCTCCATTGAACAAAATGCACCAAGTCCCATCCCCACCGCCATTCAGCCCCACTACCTTGGCTGCTCAGAGTGAGGACGCACTTCCTCAAGCGCTCATCTGTGCACCTAGGAGGCCTCTGGTTTTCTCTGACCAATAAAGCTTTGGGGATGCAAGTCCTTTTTGGGTTATCTTGTTTACCATATTACCAGAACTGGAAGAACTAAGAAATATTTTCTAAGACATTTTAACATTAACTCAGCAAGTTTCAAAATTCTGGTAGTAGTACAGATGGCTAAAAATTCAAAAACAAAATAATGTTTCTCCCCCTAAAATTCATTATCTGAACCATTTGTGTTTTAATGTTCCTAGAGGGTAAATGTTCATTCTTGGGGGGAAAAAAGCAGCTTTGTTCTAAACCCCAGAAGGTAAGGATTATAGAGCTTTTGTGGGCTCTCTAGAAAATAGCAGTGATTGGGAGGAGCTGTGCATTTCAT